CTCTATCGCTTCGAAAGTGTACTAGTACACATATATATACAGGTATACAGGCAGCATGGACGCGAGCACTCATGTCGCAACGTGCTCCCAGCCCGTCGTCGCGCGGTCGATAAAGTCGGCGTCCATCGTCGGCGAGTGGCTGATGGCATACAGCAGCTTCTCCATACAAATGGCCTTGGAGCTGTACCGTGGCTACGTCATCAGCATCCATGAGCACACTCCACCATCCTCATCCGTCGGTCTCGTACCAGACTCAGCGAGAAGAAGCACGTCTGCGAGTGCGGCAGGTACATGTCGGGCTACACAATCAGCATGAGCGTCCCCGCGCAGAGGTGGACGTACGTTGGCGTGTTCGGCCACGACCGCAGCCTGGATCTTGAAATGCAACGTAAACTCTTCCAGCGACCTAGCACGCTACGCTCCGAAACCAAACTCCAAAAACGAAACCAACCGTGGCAGACGCGACCGCGCCAGCACAAAGTTGACAAAACTGCTGCGCTGCTCGTGGTTCATGTCGGTGAGGCACTGCCAGAAAAATTGAATGTGCGCGTCGTTCGGATCGACCCCTACCCCCATTCATGTCCCACCGCTCTGGTCACGAGATGTACGTACCATCGTAGACGGTGATACGCTGGAGCAGCTCGACGTCAATCTCGGGCGACCCACACACGAGCTCCTCGAGCTGCGTCGGCGTAAAGAGGCTCAGTGCTGCGTGCGGCACAACGGTCGCGAAACCTTCCATGAGCGGTCGCAGCTGCGCCGTCTGCGCCGCCAACCGGTGCGCCACACACGCATCGACCATTTCGATCAAGGTGGCGCTCGTGAGCGACATGTCGTCCCGCGGAGCCAGTGGGGCTTGGGCCTACGTCATCGCAATTACAATCTTTTTCTTCATCCAACAAGGGTGTACCACGCGCAGCAAGTGGTCAATGATCTCGTGCGTCTCGAGACCGGCGACTTCCTCGTCGCTGAGGCGTTCGAGGTCGTGCAGCTCACGGACGACCATCGTGTCGACGCCGCTCCAGTCCTTTCGGTCAAGCGGCAAGCTCACGAGCGGCTTCCAAAAGAGCTCCGAGCAGTTGAGCGGAATGAGAATGCGGTGCCGCATCGCAAGCCCCAGCAGTCGCCCGAGAAACTTGAGGTGCGACGGCGATGCACCTGGCGACACGACGTACTTGTCTTGGTTGGCACCCGACGCTTGGACTGCATTCGGACACGGCTCAAAGAGGCTAGTCACGTCAGCATGACATACCATCAAGATGACGTCAGTGTGACATACCGCAAGACGGGACCAATCGGCTCTTCCCAGCCCGCTGTTTGAAACACGGCACGGTACGGTCCACCGTGGTCGTCGACGCCTTCGCCGAGGCACTTGACGTAAAACGCACGGGGCTGCCCCGCGTCCTGGAGCTCGTCCGTGTACGCCCGGCGGAGCGATGATGCGTCCCAGTTGGTCATGGCCGTCGCGAGCTGGCCGAAAATCGTCTTGTCGTACACGCCGTGCGGCTCGAGCGCTTGGATCCGGTTCAGACTCACTTCGCGAAGCCCTTCGGGTCGGTCGTACTCGTCGGACGGCGGCGTCGTGTGCGTCGTCGTGATCGCGAGCAGGTCGCGCCAAAACGCAATCTTGATGCGTTTAAAGAGCACATCACGGAGCGTCGTGAGCGCTGCCGCTGTGGCGGCGGTCGGCAGCGCAAACAAGTCGTGTCCGTGCAAGTCGACAAACGGCAGCAGCTGGGCGACCGTCCCGTTCACGACAAGAAGACACGCCAACCGTGCCGCGACCAACGACGCGTCAAACCCGCTGAACGTGCCACGTGCGTGCTCCCACACATCGGCCCACGCCAGGTTCTCGGGCTCCGTGGCCTGTGCGTCGCACTAGAAAAGTCGATGAGTCCATGACACCAAAAGAGAGCCAACGTACGAGGGCATCAACATGCGCGACCAGCATCACATCGTGCTGTCGGGTCCAGCTGCTCGAGCCGTCGACGAGCGCTTCGAACGCTGGTGTAAGCGGCGCGACAGGCGTCGCGAGCGGCCAAAGCGGGTCGGGGGTCGTCGAGTACTACGCGTCGTGAGTTCGACTTGGATAAACCGGAATTGCAACCTACCACAACAAAGGGATCGGCGGTCGCTTGCACGTCGGCGTCGCTGGGCGGTGGCACGTCGTCGGGGACCGTCGTCGTCCGAGGCGTTTCGCAGATTTGGCACTTGGAGAGGTTCGGGTCGTTGAGCATCGTACACGCGTCGCAGCTCCACGCCGCCTCCTGTTCCATGGGCGCTTGGTCCAACAGCGCCAGCACTTCGGGCAGCCGCCAATACCACGCACCCGCCCCTTCTTCGCCCTCGATGAGAAACCACACACGCCCGTCGATTTGCCCGAGGATCTGCGCCGTGCCATACCGCGTGCTGAGCGTCGCTTGCCCGCGCGTTGTCACCAGCGCCGCGTCGCGCATGGCTGCCGACACGCGTAGCGGCGTCCCCGCGCGAGTGAGGTGCACGCGCGGCTGGAAAAAGCCTGTCGACGTCATGGACGCGTGCATCGCCTGTGCCCGCGTCCACACTGTAGCGTCTAGCAGCTGGGTCGACGCCAAGTCTTGGACGAGGCGCGCCGCCTCCAGCGCGTGATGCAGGCGGTCCGACAGGCGCAGTGTCGGGTGATGGAGGCCTTTCGTGCGACGCACAGAGAGCGCGTCACCAGGGTACGAGAGGCCAAACGCCGGGCCAAACGCACACGCTTTCCGTCCAGCTTGCGACTTGAGAAAGCGAAAGGCGACGCCCATGTCGACCACGGCCGGCCGGCCCCGCACAAAGTCGTCGCCGTCCTTGAGAAAAGCCAGCGTGCCCTTGTCCATGTCGAGTCGGATCCCAACAACGTCGCCGGCCGAGAAGTACCGACCGTAGAGCTGTTCGCCCTCGGCCTGGCTCCACTTGACGCGGTAGCTCACAAACCCATAGTCACCCCAGCCGTCCGGTGGCGACAAGACGCTCGGCGCCGCGACGCCGAGGAAGACGCTGCCGTGGTTGCACGCCTCGATCGCCACTTCCCAGTAATGCACGCCCGATGTGTACGCCGTGTTGCCGCGCACCAAGAGATGCGTGCCCGTGCTCGCGTGGGCCTCAAGCCGGACGCCCATGAGGTCTTGGCTCATCGCAATCATGTCGTAGGCAGATGGCGGCGGGACGAGCGTGAACGCTTGCTCCGTATGCGCTTCCCACACACCGCACAGCTCCACGTCCTGCGTGCTCGTCTGCACAACGTCCATTGTCGACGTGACGTAGCCCAGTGTCGATGCCACTGACGGATACCACGGAGCCGTCGCATCCGCCAAGAGATCAATCACCGGCAGCGCGCTCGGGAGCGGTTCCGCAGCCACGTCGGCGTCCGTGACGTCCTCAGAGACCACTTTGCCCTTGAGAAAGCGCTGGGTGCGGGTCGTTTGCGTCGGATGGTCAACCGCGCGCTGGAAACGCAGCGTCTTCCACACCGACGGGTACAGTGTCGAGACGCAGAGCGGATGTGGCGCAACAAACGCCGGGACGCCCTCGAGGTGGTTGGCGACCCAGTGCCCGAGGTAGTACCCCTCTTTTTCGCGCAGCGTGAGCTGTCCGAGGCCGTGTCGACGCCCGTGCGCCCAGTGCCCAAGAAAGCGCTCGTGGCTGTGGCTCGGCGGGTACCGGAGCTCGCCGCGGCCGTGCTTGAGCCCGCGCACAAACACGCTCGTCTGCGGTCGATACACGCTGATGCACGGCACAAAGCCGTTGGTACCGTTGACAAAGCACTGCATCGGCAGCGACAAGTGCAGATTCGAGAAAGCCGTGCCAAGGAGAAGCCCGTTGCGATACACGACCAGCGTCCCGAGGTCCATGTTGAGCTCGAGGCCGACCACGTCGCCTTGTGCAAACCCGGTGCTCGCAAGCCGCTGGCTGTGGCCAGCGTGGTACGTCTTGCCGGTCGCGCAAAAGCCCCAGCCGTACGCGTCGCCGCCGAGAAGACCATTCGGGTCGGCACTCGGCGTCGCGATCCCGACACGGAGACCGTCCGTGGCTTGCAGCGCCGTGATCTCAACCTCCCAGTGGATCGACCCGCGGGCAAGCGACGGCGGCGGTGGCGCCACACGCGACGTGACCCGATGGTGCGCACATACCGGTGCAAACTGCTTGGTCCGGTGGTTGAACACGTCGACGTGCGAGACATCGACGACCGACGCCACTGCCACAAACCCCGGAGGCGGCGCAAACTGGAACGGTGTGTGGCCCACGTTGATCTTGGCGCCTTGGCCGCTCGAGAAGCTGCCCGCCGGGTACAGCCCGGCACTCCATGGCACTTGGGCGTAGTCGGCTTCGGCAAACGCAAGCCCGAGGTCGACGCCATTGTGCGTGAACCGCATTTCGCGCGCGTCCATGTCGAGCAGGACGCCGAGGACGTCGCCATTGGTCCAGCTCCACGACTCGGACCCGTACGCGTGGCCCGTGTTGCACCATTTCTTACGGCGCTTGCCGTCGACGCCAAACGAGCCAAAGTGATCGCCGACGCCGTGGGTCGTAAACGCCGGGCGGAAGCCAGGACTCGCCCACCCGAGCTGCATGAGACCCTTGGACTGCAGCACGAGCTCATAGTACACTTTGCCGTGTGTCACAAGACCGTGCACGCGCACCGTGATGAACGTATCGGTGCGGTTCTGCACGAAAAGCTGTTGGTCCAGCGAGAGATCGGGCGACGGCGAGGCGTGCCAGTGCTTGGTCATCGCGTCGACTCCAAACGCGCAAAAGACGAGCCCCGCGCGCTTCTTGCCTTTGCGCAGGAGACTCTGCACCCGTCGGCCGCCGTCAAACACTTCGATCGCGTCGCTGCACGACGGCAAGAACGACATGGCCGTCGGCAGCGACGTGACAACGGTCTGGGCCAATGTCGTGGTCCACGCGCCGATTAGCTGCCCCGCGCGGTGGCGGCCCGAGAAGCGCATGTGCGCCATCCACTCGAGCGGCGAGTACGTTTCCTTGATATCTTGGCGAAGGCTCTCGATCGCAAACGACAATTCGCCGTCCTGCGTCGCTTGGCCACATACAATGCACGTGATGCGGGCGTTGAGGATGAGACGCCCCATGACGACATACGACGACAACGATGACGTCGAGGACGTGGCGTACAGCTCGAGGAAAAAGGCCATCGATCGCGATTGGCTCCAAGGACCCCCGAGCGCCGCGCAAGCGTCGCGTGTCCACGTCCCGGCGCCGGAAAAGACGACGTTCGAGGTCGGCAGCGACAAGACCTTGGGCGGTACGATCGTGTGCGACGGCGCACACGTCCAGCTGGCGCCGACAATCGCGCTCTCGTTCAAGTGCTCGCTTACGTCGTAAACGTGCGCCCCGGCGCCTTCCTGGAGCGGCCAGTGGCCCGCGATCGTCAGCGCGGGGACCAAGTCGTCCGTCGTCTTGGCACTGGACACCGCATCATCGCCGACGCTGCTGCACTGGTGCAGATCGAGCGCCGAGAGCGCAGCAATGTGGGCGTCACCGAGTGCGGCGTTAAAGTACCGGACATTGGCAATGCGGCCGCGGACGCCATACATGTCGTGGCCGATAAACTGCATCGGGAGCGCAAACCCGGTTACTGCTTGCGTCGCAACTCGGACACCGTTGAGATATAGCGTCACCTGCGTCGGCGACGCGACGAGGCTGAGCACCGACCACGTATCGTACGGCACCATCGTTTCAAACGCCGTCGTCGAGCTCGGCTCACGGTAGCTCACAACACTCACGCCAGCGTGCTCGACCGAGCGCAGCGCAATGCAGCCGTTGGTCGACGACGCAAGAATCGCCTTGGCGCCGCCGCGTTCGGGAGAGAGGCAGTACTGCGCCGTCCACGGCGGCAAGAGGTCGTCGGTCGCAAGCCCCACGTAGCTGCAGCCGCCTTTGAACCGCAGCGCGTACCGCATGATGGGCGTCGCCGGCGCCGGAAAGCGCTGTAGCACCGAGACGAGCTCCATGTGCGCTTGAAAGTACCGCGAGTAGAGCGGGTACACTTCGTCTTCAAACGCCAAAAGCCGACGGACATTCTCCTCGAGGTACGTCACCGAGAGCGCACGCCGAAGCGCGACGCGCACGTCACTGGACACGGTCGTGTCGTTGAGCGCGCGCAAGAGCATGCGTCCGAGGACTTGGAGAGCCTTTTGCTGCACTTCGAGATGGCTCGCCTGGAGCGCTTTGACCCAGATAAAGTACAGATCGTAGGCCACGCTCGTCGGCGTGAGTGCAATGGCCTCGTCGCTCTCAAGGAGCCAGGACGTGAGCAGCCCGAGGAAGCGCAAGTCGGCGTCGTTGCCAAAGTACGCGTCGAGCTTGTCGCTGTGCGCGTGCCGCCACGAGAGCGTGCCTTGGTGTCCATCCCGCAAAAATCGGTCCATCTGGTCGCCAAGAAACGCTGTAATCGCACTTCGGAGCGGGTTTGCCGTCGCACAGAGCGCACGCACCGTCGGCCGGAGCAGCTCGGGCGTCGTGAGGCGCGTCGTTCCCAGCGGCGACCGCGTCGGCGCCGTCGCAAAGTCGCTCACCCACGCCCGGTGCGCAACGAGGCTCACAAACGGCACAAACAAATCTTCGTGCCCGTCAAAGACGTCGAGCAGCACCGGAATGTCGTCCTTGCACGCTGCGAGAACACCGACACCGAGCCGACGCGCATACAGCACACGGAGCGTCGTCGACGTTGCGAGCACGTCACTTGCGAGCTCGTCGGCTGAAAACTTGGCCGCGCGCTCGGCAAACCCGACCCGCGACGACGCCGGCGCCCACGGGTGGAACACATGCTCTCGCTCGTAGTTCGAACTCGACGGCGTCTCGTCATGAAAGCAAAACGTCATGTCTGAGAGCTGCTCGGGGTCGTCAAGCGGTCGAATGCAGTGGCGTCGCGCGAGTGCGGCCTCGATCCCCGAGGACGCAAGACCGTCGTCGACATGAGCGCGCAACTGAATGGCCGACACCACCGCGGGTTGCCCGAGTGTTGCGAACGAGACGTGCGAGAGGCGCGGCGCGGCCCACTCGAGAAGCATGCTGGCGCGCGCAACGACATGACCATAGCCGAGGTGCACACGCGTCCGCGTCACGACCAGCCAGTACGGCACCGCATACGAGGGATCACAGAACGCACCCGTGTCACTCGCCAGAAGCCGCTTCTCCGAGCTACCCGCCGCAATGTCGTAGACTTCGAGCAGCGTATTGTGTTTGGCACCCAACACCACTTCGTGCACCGCAGCTTCGTCCAGCGACGCAAAGAGACCCAGCGTCACATCGCTCGTCGCTTGCACCGAGAACGTCACGACCGTCGAAAGCGCGTTGGTCAAGGCCCACAAAGCTGTATACGCCGACCCCGAGACGTCCACGGTTGTTGCGTCCGTCAGGACGTGACGCGACCCAATGTCGTCGATCGGCTCACACTCGAGATTGGGCGCCGGCTCGCGCGGTGTGCCCGGCGTCCCCGGCGTCTCTGGCGTCACCAGCGTCGTCATTGCGTCGTTTGTGGGCGCGTCCAGCAAGTGGCCGTTGCTCAGAATCCAGTTGAGCGCCGTGTTGACTTCGTGGTTGGACTCTTCGAGCGCGCGCTTGCACCACGCTTCGGGGAACCCCATCGTCATCATCGACTGCAGCCGCACATCGAGGACGCGGTCGGCCGACGACCGTTGATCGCGGTGCAAGGGCGTTGGGCCCGATCGCAAAAACGCCTCGTGGTACTCGAGCAAGCGGTGTAGCTCTTCGTCGTCGTGCATGGCCTGCAGCACAAACGCCAGCGAAATCAACGGCGGGTCTTGTTCGTGCCGCCGCGAGACCTCGATCGCAAGGCTAAGCACGTCGGCCGCCAAGCACTCGCACGTCGCACAGAGGTACGGCCCCAGCTGCAGCGCGTTGCACGTGTCCCGCCACGCTGCGCCCGTGCCCGGCATCGCCATCTCGAGCTGCGCCACGACGTAGTCGACGATCCGCGTCTCGTGGACGCCCCACTCGACGCCCCAATGGTCGCGGTTCGAGAGCCATTCGTTGGCTTCGGCACACGCCGCTTGGAGCATCTCGGGCAGCGCAATTTCCCGGTAGACTGTCTCGACAGCAGTCTGAGCATCCAGTCGCGTCGCCGCACTGCGCTCGATCGTGGTCCAGACACTCAAGAGGCTCTCGACAGTCTTGAAGAGCATGTGATTGAGTAGCGCTTCGAGCCACTGGATCGCATCCGACCCAATGCCAACCGGCGTATCAAACGTCGAGACTTGCTTGAGCGTGCAAAGCAATCCGTCGTCAAAGGCCACGTTGCACACGGTGACGGCAACGTCGTCGGTCGGCGTCGGCGGCGGCGCCTCGGAGAACGCCGGCAACGGGTACAGACCGTCACGCACACTGCCATACACTTGGTTGTACTGGAGCGCTTGCAGCATCTCAAACTTGGCTTCGACGAGCGGAAGACTCGGGAGTCCGCTCGACGTCGAGAGAAGGCCACCGAGTTCAAAGACCTTGCGTGCAATCACGGGGCTCTTGGCGACAATGTCAAACAGCTGCGTCGGATGCTCGCAAAAGAGGCGGTGGGCGACGTGCAGGAGGTGCAGAAAGAGCGCGTCGCTGGGCATGGGCGCCAGCAACGCGTTGGCCGTCGACTCGAGGATGGCGTCGACAAACGCATCCGACAAGATCGTGAGCGACAGCGTGTGCTTGGGCACTGTCGTCATCTCGGCCGTCGACACGGGCGTCGATGCGTGGTCGCAGAGCACGGTGGCGCTGCCCAAGTCGCACGTCGGGTCGAGCAGCATGACCATACCGTCGTGCTGTGGCAGGATAGCGTACCCACCGTACCGAATCGGCTCGACAAACGACCCGAGGACGCCAAGGACGCCGATTTGCAGCGTGACGTCGTCCGACCGAAACATGCTTTGGGAAATCTCCAGCACAAGCGGATGCCACGCCGCTTCCGCCAGCAAAACGCGGAGGAGGCTCACGCTCTCGGACGCCAGCGAGAGCGCCGATCGGCTCGAGCGCGGGAGGGTCTCCGACGGCGGCGCGTGGAGCGGTGCGCCAACCGCTCGGACGAGAAAGCGAACCAAGTCGGCGGCACCCCGCACGCTTGACGGCGTCGCGACGAGTCCTTCCAGTGTAAACGGCAGCTCGAGCGTCACCACCACGGGGTTGCACACGGGAAGGAGCGTCGAGAGGAGTTGCATCGACCGGACTTGCGGCTCAGTCACGCCAAAGCAGGCAATCGTCACAAAGATCGACAGCCACGGCGTCGTTGCGAGTGACGCATTGCACGCCGGCGACGACGACACAAACTGGAGCAGCGACAAAATCCCCAACAAACTCGGGTTCTCCCCGAGCACGTCGAGCGCATACGTCGTGCGCGACGTCTTGTGCGACTCGAGAAGGCGACATACGACGAGCGAGAGTTCGTTGTAGAGCATGTCAAACACGGCCGAGCTCAGCGTTTGGGGCCCCGAGAGCTGCCGCTTGAAGTGTGGCGGCGTCAGAACGTGCGACGGTGCGAGGGCCTGGTTCGGGTTGCCGTCGCCTTCGCTCGCGACCTGGACGGCCAAGAGGTACACGACCTTCATCGTTGCTTGGCGGACGTCGGCGCGGCCCACATCGAGGAGCTCTTGGAGCACGTGAAAGACGCGGCCGGCCGCGACGAGTGCGTGGTCATCGGGCAAAATGCGCACGCCGAGCGCGTCCAGCAAAAGCAGCTGCCAGCTCGTCGGCTGTGTCGTTGCGACCGAGAGGTGCCGCACAAGGGCATTGTAGTAGCCTTCGAACGCACAGCGCACGTCGTGCTGGAGCGCATACGGACAGCCCGAGATGCCCGACGAGTAGTGCCACACGTCGACCGCACGGATCGCAGCGACCACTTGGAGCAAAATCGCCGCTTTGCACGGCAGACGCAGCGCCGAGACGAGCTTGGTCACGCGGCGAAGGCCGTGCGCACGCTGGAGCGCCATGGCCTGCGCGCTCTGAAGGTGCTCGCTGAGCTTTTTCAGATTGCAGTCGCTGCGGCAAAACGCCGCAATGCTTGCAATGATCTCGGCGTCGACGTCACGGAGGCTGGCGTCCGGTGTCTCGTCCGCGTCAAACGAGCTGCTGCGCTTGCCCATCGAGATCTTGCGCACGAGCGTCGGCAGCTCGTGGTAGTAGACACCAATGCCATCGTCGGCTTTGGTTGGACTCAAATGCAGTAAAAAGTCCACCTTGGCCAATAGCGTGGCGGCAATCTCGTCGTACGATAGTCCGTGTGAGTTCTTGAGCCGAAGTGCATACGCCTTGAGCTCGTACGCCTTTTGCCACAGCGACCGAAGCGGCTTGGGCGCCGGCGACGTCTTGGTACCGGCGGCCTTGTCCTCAAACTCGGCATACGAGCTCATGCCGCAGTGGTACAGCATACACCCGAGCACGGCGCGGATCGCCTTCTCCAGACTCGCACCGCCCATGCGCACCACGAGCGGGCTTGCGTTGGCAAACTTGAGCACCCACTTGTCAAAAGCCGGGTGGAGGCCGTCCATGAGCTGCTTGAAGAACGCCGACGTCGACGGTTTGCTCGACGACAACCCGGCTTGAAACAGCGGCGACCGGAGCCAACGCGCGTCGGCCTCGTCAATGTGTGTCTCGGGCGAGGCGCCAATGAGCTGCCCGTACAAGTGGCCGCCGAGCCCCGCGAGCAAGAGGCGCGCGTCCGACTCGTCACTGGACGACATACTCGAAGGCTCTTGCAGCAAAATCTCGTCGATCGTGTCGAGGACAAACGGCTCGTCGTCGACGTTCGACCAGCACAGCATGGACGCGACGACCGGCGTCAACAGCGACGACAGTGCTTGCCGTGCTGGCGCTGGCTTGCACGCCGCAAGCAGCGTCTTGGCGTAAAAGGCGGCCAGCGGTGTCGGCTCGAGGCTTGGCGGGGCATTCCGGCCGTCGACCGTGATTGCCTCACCACCAAGAGGCACGACCGAGGTCGAAAAGGCAATGCTGTCGTGCGCGTTGCAGAGCGAGACCGCGGGCGCGTACGCCTCGCCGGCGACCAAGTCGAGCACAAGCGCAGGGCCCACGGGCGCATTCGACGCTGTGTTGACCACGAGAAGGGTTCCCGCGGTCGAGTCGAGCTTCATGTCGAGTACGATCGGCGCCGCGCCGAGGAACGGCAGATGCGCCGACTTGGTGCGAACCCCCACATGGTACCAGTCGCCAGTGAGCTGCCAGCCGTAGCTACTGGGATCACTACCGACATACGACCGCGCCGTGGACGATGATGGTGCAGTCGACGCAATGCCAAGAAAGAGCTGGCCAATGTTCTGGACCTGGGTTACCGTCACTTGCCACGTGTGCACGCCCGACCCTACTCAGTACGTGTGGCTACCACACCAGAGAGTACTCTCGCTACACCTCGCGTAAACGTCTTGGACCCCAACGCCGTGCGCCACGCTCCGCCCATCGTGTTGGTGACACTCAAGCCATCGGCTAAAACTTGGAGCTTCTCGTCCGACGCGCCTTCAAAGCGCAAGTGCCCGCCCAGCGGTGATGCGGTCGCCTTGGCCTGTCCGTCGAGCAGTGCTGTGAGCGAGTAGGCGCGCTGTGTCAGCTGCGCATTGTTGGCCGCGTGCTCGTCGAGAAGCAGCATTCCGTCGGTCGGGTCGACGTCAAAGACCCAGCCACCCGTGAGCAATTCGACGTACTGTACAGAGTCGTTTGGGTACTGGAGCACGTTCTTGGTCTCGATGAGTTGGCCAATGCTGAGCGTGCGGCCTGTCTTGGGCGCCTTGACGTTCGGCGTCTCGCGCACACCAATAGGGCAGTTGACGACCTTGAAGAAGCGCGTGTCGTCGTGCCACTGCAAGAGGCGCGACACGGTGCACGGTGTCCAGTGCCGCCGCAAGTCGGCAAGTAAACGGTCTTGGAGCGACACCAAGAGCGACCGTGCCGACGATGTTCCATGCGTCGACGCAGTCAGCAGCGCTTTCAAAATCGTTTTGGTCGTCTCGATCGGCACGGCCAGCGTACTCGCCACATAGAAGCGCTGCCACTCTTCGTACAAGACAACGAGTTGCTCGGCCGGTGATGTCGCGTCCAGCGATGGCATGCGCGGGAGTTTCTCGAGCACGCTAATGACCTCGGCCTTCGTGATGAGCGGGATGTTGTCGTCGCTCGTGTCGAGAAGACTGCGCTTGACGGCATCGAGCGCCCACGGGAAGAGCAATGACGACGACGATGGCGCGTCACTGGCCGGCATCCACTGCGCGAGCAAATGCGGCGTCGACGTCAGCGTGTCGCAGAGCGTGTCGAGACGCAACGCTGGGGCGTCGACGCATGTCAAGAGCCGCAAAAGGAGCTCGGCGCGGGCCAGCGGTGTCGGGCAAAACACTTCAAGGCCGGCGGTTTGCGCCAGAATCGCTTCGGCGCGCACAGCGTCGTTCATGTCATCGTCATACCAATCAACCGTCTCGCAACGCAACAACATGTCACGTAAGCGCTCCGCAAACGACGACGACGACGACGACGACGACGTTTGCATACCGAGGCCGACGCTGGCCGGCGGCAGCCCGAGGGACGTAGACGAGTGCGAACTCAGCGGCGCAAAGTTGGCCCGCAAGACGCGCAAGAGCCCGAACACCTGCGGACCATCGAGAAGGTCCTTCTCCTGCATCCACTGCGCCAGCACCGAATGCAGCAAAAGGAACGTCAGCACGTGCGGCCACACGACCGACGACACAACGTCGACAGCACCCAACGCCAACGACAGGTGCTTGACACGCAGCGACGCAATCGTGGCCGCCGCACGCGGCTCGAGGGCGGCAAGAATCTGGCCAGGCAGGTTCGTCTCCGGTATGGCTGTCGTCGTCGTCGTCACGATGCCATGCCCCGCCGCGTCCGGCTGCGTCGTCCACCCCGCGTCCGAGGCAAGCGAGCCATGCCAGAGCGGGACACGCCCCGTGGTATCGTGGACAATGGTCCCACGGCCTTGAACGAACGCGTACCGTGCCACGTCTCTTGGCGGCTGCTTCTCGCAGGGCGGACTCGCCAAAACGCGCACGAGACGCACGTCGCCCTGCCACGGCGCAAAGCTCGGCACACTCGGCGCGCCGCCGACAACAAACGCCAGCGACAGACTCAGACCGTTCGGATCGAGCGACGCGCCACTCGAAACAACCCGTTCGACAGCGACGCCATCGACGTAAAAGACGACGCGGTCGGTCGTAAAGCTGAGCCCAATCTTGTGCACGGTGTTGTCGCAGAGGTAGCGCTGGGCTGTGGCAAACTTGCGTTCGCGCGACCGCAAGCAGAGACGCCCGGTCGGCGTGACCCCCAAGACAAAGAGGTACGAAGGACCGGCAGACTCCAAGCACCCGAGCACGACTTGGAACTGTGGATGGTGTGTGTAGCGGACAATGGCCTCGCAGTGAAAGGCGTGTGGCCACTTGGGACAGGCTTGGAAAAGGCGCGCCGGCACAAGCAGAGGTCCGCCCGTCGACGGCGCGTAGGCGACATCCAGAGCGGGTTGTGGCGCATACGTGGTCTCGAGGCGCAGCGCATTCGATGGGGCTGTCCCGACCACCGTGCTCTCGCGCGATACGTGCAGTGCCTCGAGCGACGCCTTCTTACTCGCGACAAACTTGGACAGTTCCTTGACCGAGAGCGCTTTGGTTTCGTGCAGCTGCACGTGGTGCAGGTACCCACGAAAGCCCTTGTAGTCGGTCGTCGCCTTCTTGACGCCAACCGGCGTCTTACCAAAATGGAACGGATGGGTGTTGTGGAGCACCTTGTCGGCCAGCGTCAAGCTCCGGTCCTCCTTGCCGTTGAGCACCAAGCGCAGCGTGAGGTCGTCACACACGATTGCGACATGCGTCCAGCGGTGCGTTGCAAGCGGCGCCGACGAGACCACGGTCGAGTTCCAGTCGGACGCGGTCGAGACACACACCGCGAGGAGCAGTCGGTCGCAGCTCAGAAAGACACTTGGCGTGCGCTGCATCGAGGCGTCCTGGCCCTTGAGGCAGATCGTGCGCCACGGCCGCGGCTCGGACCCGTCCTGCAGCGGCAGCGGGTAGATGAAGAACGAGAGCGTCCACGCTGACGGCGACAACTGCACGCTGCGACCGACGCGGACGCTGGTGCCCATCTCGGGGTAAAACTCGGTGCACGGCGCAGGCAGTAGCGGGACACCGCCGACCGCGGTCGCCTCGACCGTGGGCACAGGTGGCTGGAACCCGAGTTGCTGCCACACACTTGCATACACGCTGCTGCGCGGTGTCGACAAGAGCGACTGGAACCCGCGGTGTCCAACGCTGAGCGCTGGTGTCCACGCCGTCAACGGTGCGACAACTGCCGTTGTTGTCGCAAGTGGGGTCGAGAACGACACGACGCCGGTCGTCCCGTCGATCACCACCGTAAGCGAGCTCCACGCGCTTGACGCCTCCGTCGACGTAGCGACGATGGCACCGTCGCGGTAGATGTGACGGCCGTCAAAGCCGATCGATTCCATGTCATCGCCGAGCCCAACGGTGTGGCAGCGTCGCCCCGGCGCCATCCAACCGACACGCAGGCCCGTCTCGATGGCCGTCGTCGTCGAGAGTGTGTAGCGAAACGGACCACGCGTGACGACGCAAGCAACGGCAGCCAGCGTCGTGGACTCGGATAAGGACGGTGTCGCATGCAGCGTGTTGTCGTCGTCGATCGTGATCGCCGCAGACGCGGCGCCGTCCAATGGGACCCACTGCAAGCGCTTGTACGCGTCGTTCTCGGTGCGAATGTCGGAGCGCGCCTTGTCGCGAAGTTCGTGCAGATTGAGTTGGGCAGTGCTGTCCTCGAGTGCGGCGAGCGCCGTCCGCACGCGGTCGGCAAGATCGCGCGCCTTGGCCTCGCTCGTCGATTTTGGAAGCAGCAACGACGCTTTGAGGAGCACGAGGAGCTCCAAGAAGAGCAACTCTTCCTTGGTGACGTGACCCTTGGTCTTGGACTGGCGCAGGAAGCCAGAGACCGCTTGGTACAAGACGGGCTCGGCGTTCTTCAAGATGACCAGCGGCTCGGTGAGGTCGACGTCGAGGCTATCGTCTTTCAGCAGCTCGGCGGATGGCTCGACATCGGCGCCTTCCGCGGTAGGCTTTATATCGGCAGCGACAAGGTCCAAGATGCGCTTGTCGAGAACGCTCGTCGAAGCCGTGTCCATGTCGGCGGTCTCGCGGAGGAAGCAGCAGGCCATGGATCGTCGGGAGAGGCAGCTCTGGTAGAGCCCCTCGCCGCATGCAGCATGCACGTCTTGGATGAGCTCCTTCAGCTTCGTCTTCCCACGGTCCACTTCCATGCTGTCGCGGATCGCAGGGACGAGATGGGAGGTCTTTGGCTGCTTTCGTTTTCCTGACTAACATCACCCCACTTCCTCCGGATAACACACACCCAAATAGTGTACGACCGTCGCGATCCCCTGCACGCACCAAACGACCGCAAAGGTCACCCGACGCGGCGTGCACGCCTCGCCCTCGACCTGCAAAGGCATGCGTCGGAGGAATACACGCGCCATCTAGCGTACCGCACAGCCGAGAGCACTACCTTTGAAATTCACACTATTCTCAATATAACATTATTTGATGCATATAAACGCCAGGATCGCGATCTTCAACCTCGCCATGTCCCACATATCGGCTCATGATGGTCCCATCGTCAAGCCAGTCGTCGTCGTGATGGTATCAGCTTCGTATCAAGGGCTCCAGCATCGCTTGCTGCGGCGGCAAGGATGCCCACATGTCCATGCATCGAAGCGGCCGCTGACGTGGCGTCACGTGCGCGTCATAGCCGCTGGCATCTCGGCGGCGAGTTGCGCGTGCACGGCCAGCTGGAACTTGCGCAGTGCACGCTGCTCTTGCTTGTGCTTGAGGTACAGCGCCACATAGTAGGTCGGGCACGCCGTGTCGGCCACGTCCGCATCGACGTTCGCAGCCTCTTTCAGCACGGCCTGGTACGTCGTATCTTCGCTTTCATGCAGCTGCGTGAGCGCTCGTTCGTCTTGGGCGTGGCGGGCGGTGAGCACTGCGAACTCGTCGACATGCACTCGGTGTAGCAACGGCGCATCCGGGTCAATGCATGAAGCAGAAGCAGCTAGCAGACGCAAAGCAGCATGGAGAGGGACACGTCGCGTCGCATGGGACCCGCCGTCTTGTCCCGCCTTCGGTGTCAAGGTTCCGATTGGGACTTGAGGTAGTTGGCACCGCTCGGCCATCGCTGGACGCTGCGCGCTGGAAGCCGCGATGGCCTCGTGAGCGCACGCAGCCCTCGCCTTTATGGGCTGGAACATGCAGCGTCGCCATCGTAGTGCGTTGGCCGTCATGACAGACGCGACAGGCGAGCCAATAACGGAGTCGAATGGTATTGACGACTTAGACGCTGGCGACGCGCAGTTGGAGGAACGCCGTCTTGTGGCGGTACAAGAACGGGCTGCTCGTGACGCTGAGGGCTGCCGCGGTCATCGCCATGACGCGCTGCGAGAAATCGAGCGGCGTCTCGGTCGCGTCGATGCTCTACGGAGTCTTGACGCTCTATTTGACGAGGATGCATGAGTCACGTACGGTGGGCGGTAAGACGCGCAGTGTAAAGCGGTGCCACGGTACAAAGAGAAACCACAGCACATTCGCGATCGTCGAGCTCGACTCGTCGTTCATGTGCACGGGCTAGGGTCCGTCGTATCAACCTCCACGACCGTCTAGAACGTACAAAAGGCCCGTCGGTCGCCGAGAGTGCAATGGGTTGGATGCGCACGCCAAGGCCAAAGAGGAACGTGTGGTACTGGAGTAGTCCGGTGACGCCATTCGTCATCCCACCCTATATATTTCACAGCAAATTTGGAGACGAAAACACCACATATATCAAATAAAAACCGATACCTCGGGAAAACACAGAATCGGACAACGATTTGCACGGACTTTCTCGGTGAGCAGCGTGCGCAGTGCGTCTCGGCCAGACGTATTGCCTTGGGTGCGCGACGCATGTGGCACGTAAATGTAGCCGTACGCAGCCGCTAGCCGACGAAACACCCGCGACGACTTGAAGAAATCGTACCCGAGCGTCTCGAACGGTCCGAGCACTTGGAGCGCGATCGCGTCGAGCTCACTCACGTGGTTGCACACAAGGATGGGCGGCGACGGCGGCTGCCAATGGCGGTCCGGATCGAGCAGCGTCACAAAGAGACCCATCGGGACCGAGAGCCGCGCGAACGCACGGCTTATGACCGCGGCGTCCTTGAGGTAGAGAAGACACGCGAAAAAAATAGCGAGCAGCACGAGCCGCAGGCAGAGCAACAGGAGCCCGAGCGGCGCATAGAGAAGAAGGGCTAGATGGCCAAAGTGGATCGGCCGGTGCAAACGCTGCGTGTGCAGCATGCGCGACAAGGCGTGGAGGCCCGGTGTCGAGTGAAAGGTCGACGGGGTCCACAGCTCTGGGTGTTCGAGCACATGGGTTGCTGCAGATAGACCGTCGTCGCCGTCCTCGATCGACGGGTGCACCGGTGCGCTCATACGACTACGCAAGCTGTGATGACTATAAATATCGCATCGACTATGCAAGTTGGTTCGCGATGACGTCATTGGTCGAGTATCTATCAATCTATCAGTCCACCGCACACCCGAAACCAAAATTCATTGTCCAAAAAGTCAAAAACAAGAACCGAAAATCAAAATACAAGAACCAAAATACGAGAACCAAAAACCAACGCACAAAACAAAACAAACCCAACGACAAGACAGTCGCTTTATAAAAAGACTAGACATATACGTTCGACGATGCGCTCGCCCTTCGTTCGCGCGATTACATGTTCTCTCGTCGATCTCTCAACGCGTTCTTTACAAAGCACACTCGAACCACTTGACGGGCTTGCGGTCGCACCCCCACCAGCCATCGCCGTACCGCATTGACGCATCGAGGTGGTTGATGCTCGCCTTGAAGTGAAAGCTCGTCTCGGCGCTCGTGCCAAACTTGCGCGGATCGATGCCGACGGCGCAACTCGTAAAGTCGACGACGCCATCGTACTCGGGACTGTCGTGCTTGGACATTTTGCCGACAACACCGATCGCAGCCGAGGCAAGCGACGTCAAGCCGACCGCGTTCGTGCCGCAGAGGACGCGCGTGACGTGCTTTTGTCGCACTGCTTGGGCGGCTGCGAACTTGGCTTGCATAGTGGCCGACACCGTCGATTGGTGCTTGAGCGAGTCGTACGCTTGCTGGACGGGGCAGAACCCCACTTGCTTCAAAATGAACTTGAGGATTTCGTTGCCCCAGCCGCCGGCCGCGCACTTGTTGGCGAGAAGGTTGGCGGTCTTGCTGCCCTGCATCGGACCGGCGATCGAGACCCACGTCACGTCCTTTCCGATATTGCACTTGTTGTTGGCGACTGCGCTGCTCGCAATCAAGTTGCCCATCGAGAAGGTCACAAGGATCATGCTCCCGAGCTCCTTGGAGCCATACATCGGAGCCTTGCTCACCCGCAGCGCGGCGTCGCAGAACTCTTGCTGCGTCGACGCATCGTCCCAGCGGTGGTTGGTGGTCTCGAGATGGATGAACTGGACGCTCGAGCAGCACGGCGCATGCTCCTGGATGTCGCCCCACCCCGATGGAAACGTCGACGTCATCGGGCCCGCCTCGGTTTCGCCGACACCATGCACGAAGAGGCACGGCTTCTTCTTGCCCATCTTGCAGCCGCACGACGCCTTGTTGATGACTGTCGAGCGCTCGTAGCCCGCCATGTATGAGGCAACGTCCGACGACGTCTGCAAAAGCGACTTGGCAACCGGCAAGACCGTGTCAGCGACAACCGCGTCGCAACTCAAAGGCTGGCCGTTCGGCAGCACCGGGATCTCCATCTCGGGCAGCAGCGTCGGGTCCGAGAGGTACTCGACCGCAATGTCCAAGTCCGTGCCGGTGGCGTGCGTGAGCAGGTTGTTTTTGGAATTGCAAAACACAAACGACTCGCCCGCAAACGACAAATGCAGCAGCTTGCCGTCCGGGCAGTCGGCAATCGTGACGTTGGCGACCTTGTAGTTGTCGAGGACGCTCGACTCATGCAGGCTCGTCTGCATGAGCTGGACGGGCGGCACGCGGCCTGCATCGAGGCACTCGGCCGAGACGACGACGCCGTTCTTGGACGCTGCGTAGTACGCCTTGTGGTCGAGCAAAAGGTACGTCTCCGTGATTTCCGGGCCCACTTGGGTCAAGAGCGCGTCAAAGAGCAAGGTGGACCCGACGCCACCCCGGGGCACAACGTACACGTCGGCGGTCGCCTTGCCGTTGAAGCGCATGCTCTCGCGCTTGGCGGTGAGCGAGATCTTGAGCCCGGGGCTCTGCTGGATGTTGGTGATGATTTCGGTCGCGTGGTTGGTGACGTGCGTCTGAAACACAAAGATGGCGCCGAGCGTGACGCAGACGACGCCGGTCAGCGCCACGATCGCAATCACAATCCGCGTGCGCGAAGGCCAGCGCGACGTCGTCATCGGGGCCGGCACCTCGTCGCTCGGTGTCGTAGCGACGTTGTAGTCGAGCGGCGACGCGGCCTTGGTGGTATGAATACCCGTCATTGTGCGAGGCAAGCGGCGGGTGCGCGGAAGCAAGCAAAAGCAAGTCTACCACGCACCTCGCATTGCGCTTTGGCGTGAGTAACGTGCATACAGGCCACTCACGCTTCAAGACGTCGTGCGCCTTTACTATTCACGGGCTAACCTCGTTGGAAATCACAGTTGGCGACAGATCCAGTCGTCGGAGACAACCACCACATGTTCAGCCAACATACGGCATGACGGCCCAAAGGTTCCGCGAATGATCCGCTAAGCAAAAGCGTGGGACGGGGAATGTCGACGTGTAGCATTGTCGTCTTGACGTCGATCAAATCGACTACAGCTCGGTTCTTGTCCCGTTAGGCTGCCGACGGCGGGGAAGAGGCTACTTCAAAAGGGCAAATGATCATGTTGGCTGTTCTACTCGTACGGCTGATAAGCAAGATGGGAGTACTCCCAAATACACTGGATACGCGAGATTCGAATGTGCTCTGGTGCAGGACACGGACGGGGCGATGGCCACCGTCGATCAGGGTTGTCGATCAGGGTGGGGTCGGTTGTCTTGTCCGTCCGAGCATGCGGTTGGCGTTGAAGTTCCGGCACAACCCGCGCGTTGCATCTCCCGATGCGTCGACAGCCAACGACCAACGCGTCGCTAGAGTGCGGACACGGTCGCGTCGCTTTCGAATACCCTCTTTTGTTGTGCACAGAAAGGCCTAAGATGCTGTGATCCGGACGGGTACCACCCCAGGTACCACCCAGGTCTTAACGGCAACACCAAGGGAACTTGGGGGGAACACTGGCAGCGCTGGCGACTGTTACGAGTCGATACATACGCGGCTTCGACTGCGATAGAAGGCGCGTGGGTAGGTGGCCAAATGCACAAGAGAGCTCGAAATTCATTCGGCAAAGCCAAAGCGGCGACGCGAAGCCAATGGCATCAGAAATACGCGACTGCACATCTGAGTACAACCACCTGTCCACAACAAGCCGGTCGGTGCAGCTGGCAAAAGCACATTACATATGTGTAATGTGCCTTTGTCTAGAGTGGGTACCACTGTCGATTATAAAATCTGAAGCGACTACCTACATCAACTAGACTAAACTACCGGTACTGATCGATGTATTATCTAGAACTGGTGTGGAGTCATCCAGATGTAGGCCATGGCGCGATGGAAATGGTCACGATGCTGCCTTCTCGACTTCGCTGGTCGGCGATGGCGAGCTGCTGTGATGAGTTTACATGGCTTGTACCATGCTCACCTCTCTGCTTCTAGCGCAAACAAGCAGCACACATTTCGCGCCACAGAGACGCATGTCGCGCGTCAGGTGATTAGCATCTGGTTCTCCGTGGGCGGTAGAAGGCGCCCGTGTCCTTCAACCCCTCAACTCGCACTAGCTCTCAAAATACACAGCTCCACCAGCTCTCACACCAGCTCTCACCACCACGGGTCGACTGTCATCTCACTCGCACATTGCCGCATTCGCTGCTGACAATAATGCATCCCAACGTTGATCGACAAAATTGAACGAAAACGGCCAAGTCGACGCTTTTTTGTTTGTGAAAAATCTCGAAACGCCTGCGATGAACCAAGCCGAAGCGGCGCGTGGCAGTGCCAAGGAAGCGAGCCTCCAGGCGGCGCGGCGCCGCTGCGAGACGCAGCTCATGGGCCGCGACGTCCACGCGGCCTACGCCACCATTGTCGCGACCGTCCAGGATGCTGTCGGTGTTTACGGCAAGCACGGGCTTGCGATCGTGCCGTATTACCTCCTCATGGCCGACGTCGGCTTGGAACTCGGGCATCTCAAGCAGGTCGAAGAAGTCCTCGCGCTCAGCATTTGGAGCCTCGTACGCAGCGCCGAAGAGAGCAGCGCCCACGAAGGCGAGACGCACCCGGGCACGCTCCTCCAGCGCGCGGCAGTCTGCAAGCTCTACGGTCGGTTCCACGCCGAGGCCGACAACTACGACGAGGCGCTCAAGCAAGCGGCGAACGGCGCCTACTACGCCTCGCTCGTCCACGGCCCCGAGCACATTCTCACGTCGACACTCTACTTTACGCTCGGGTGCATCTTCCAGCGCATGTTCAAGACCGAGCAAGCGCTCGGCATGTTCGACAAGCTCGTCGAGATCTGGTACAAGTACCTTGCGAATCGCCTGCCGTTGGCGGAAGGCAAGGACCGAGACGACGACAACGACGACGACGCGCTCGCCCACCGGCGGCTCTTGCACGACGGCAACACGATGCTTTTGCACATCCTCGATACGCGGTCCAAGGTCCCATCCAGGATCCCAGAGCGAGAGGGCTCATGATCGGACAACTAGGTGCTCGGCTCGGGCCACATTGCGACCGGGGAGGTCGAGTACACGATGGTAGCTGCTTGCGTTGCGCTAGTGACTGAGCGTGGAGTAGGGTCTGCTCAAAGTACACATGGGCCTTCCGTCGGAAGCCAAGGGGTTCCTCGACCAAGCGCTCTCGATCTACACGGACGCCCTCGTACGACCAGTCTTGTTGAAGCATTTGGTCTCATGACGGCGGGGATTAGGGGTCGCTGCACCCGTCGACGATCGATGTGCAAAGCGTGATCGATACCATTCGTGGCGCATAAGATGTTTCATCGTGTATAGAGTCTTCTACTTGAGCGAGCTCTTGCGGCCGACGCGGGGCGCCTTGGGCTTGGCCAGACTCAGCGTCGAGACCACGGTGGTTGTCTTGACCAGCTGCGCAAACGGGTCCGCCGACTTGAAGCACGTGTTGCCATACTCGCGTTGCTACAGGTCGTACAGGGTTCGATCCCATCACCGCGGCTCGTTTGGTCACAAGTACCTGGTCCGGGTTACTAAACTTCAAGTGGAGCTTCCACGCGTGCAGCATCATGCGCGGCGCCTCGTCCTCCTCGCTGCCGTACGTCACGTCGCCCACTAGCATGGACTTGTCAGTTGTGGTCTACGCTGCATATGGCATACCAATGGGATAGCCATACTGGCTCAAATGCAGTCGGAGCTGGTGCCGGCGACCGCTCAGTGGACGCAGAAGGACCTTTGTCACGGGCTTGCCGTCCACCGTGCCATGGCCCAAGACAAACGCCACGGTCGTCGAAACCTACGTTGTACAAACAGGGTCAAGTGGCCCCGACTTCGAACCTCGGCGGGCAACCTTGCCGCGAGGGTCATTCGGTGGCACAATTTCCATCCGGAACGAGTGGTCGGGCGACGGCGCGATCGGCTGGTTGAAGATGTAGCCCATGGGTTCGTCCGGCTCGACCTCGATGCGCGGTCGCTTGCTCGTGGGCGCGACCTCGGACATGGCCCGTGGCCGGCGACCACTGGTATGCGCGACGACCGGTGCGCTGTACTGGACGTCGGCACGCGGTGCTTCGGCCTGCAGTTGCGCCGCGAGGTCGGCTTCGTAGCGCAAGCTACGGATGATACTTAGTCGAATACAAAACGCATGGCGGTCTACCGGTCGGCGACGGCGCGGGCAAAGTACGTCTCCTGCACGTCGTCGGCGAGGTCGTTCCACTTCTTGCGGAGAAGGTCCTTCTCGGCGTCCGAGAGCGCGTCGCCCGCATGCAGCTTTCGCCGCACGACGCCTTGGTCCATCGCAAAGAGGGACGGGCCCGTGCGTGGGCCCTTGAACTTGCGCGTAAACTTGAGCTCGTGCTGCTTCTTGGGCAAGATGGGGTTGTCGCTGTCCGCGATAAAGTCGGCGAGGCGCGAGAACGCTACCGACGGCGTGCCCGGCGGCGGCGTCAATGGCATCGTACCGTGGACGAGCGCGAGGTACTCCTTCTCGACGCACTTTTTCTGAAAGAGGCCGCTCGCCGCCGACGTCGACCTAGATTGGGACATGAGCGCATGCGGTGGCAGGCGATGTGGTTTACTCCTTGGTCGTGCCAATGCACATGACGCCGGACGTGGCTACGTTGATGGCTCCGTGTTTTGCGATCGCGATAGGATCACGTACCAAAGTCGAGCTGGTGGATCCAGCGAAACTTGGGCACGTCCGGAAAGTCGCGGGCGAGCGCCTTCTCGATCGTCACGTTAAAGTCGCCGTCGAGACGCACGTCGGCGCCCTAGTACGCAGCATGAGGCAAAACACCCATGTTGCAGTCGCCACCTTGTTGATGACGAGGTAGTACGGCGACCGGGACAAGATCTCGAGCTCGAGCGCGTCGAGCGTCAAGGGCCCACCGCGCGTGTCTTCGATCGCGCTCTCGTCGAGATGGCCCTCTTGCTTGCGCGGCGCCTTGATCGGCGGCGGCACGATGGCGACGGGCGGTGGCGGCGTCTCCTTGGCCGCATGGTTGCGCAGGACGCGCGACGACGTCGGGAGGTTGCTGAGGCTGGCGGCGCGGCGACGGGACATGGCGGAGCGGGTGGCGAAGGCGATGGTCTGTATCCTGCCGATCATGCACCGGCAAGAAGACGTTGGACGCGAGATTCCCACGCTGCGATATCGGGTTTGGGCCTCATCCTAGGCCGACAAAACGTCCTTGGCGATCCGAATTCGGACCTGTCCGAAAATAGGCCCTTGGCTAAACGCACGCCACTGTTCGCAACTGCCGAGCAGGTTCCGGCCTGTCAAAGACAACATTTCCACATAGCACCGTCGCCACGACCTCATGCTATGGGTACTACTGCGCTAACACCTAGTCTGCACGAGCTAGACGAACTGGTATTCCTGCGGTAAGATCGAGCTTCAGAGGATCGGTTCGAATAACCCTACCCCTTGTTCGCCATGAGCTCCCCAAGATTCCCTAGTACCCTCCATGAAGCATGAAGATTCGGCGCTCCACGACTAACGTGCAGGGACATTACCGAGCAGTGCTCCGTCAACGGAGTTGGTGCTCAATGGTCGAAGGACCTCGATACGCTTCCATCACTTCGTATACCTCACCTGATCCCGTCAACGAGTTGACGTGGGCGACAGCGTGCATACGACGCACTACTATCAATGTTTCAACCACGGACCACTTTATCTCTCTCTTATACTCGAGTGCACGCTACTGTATCGTCTTCTTCAGCTCCGCACACAACTACAACGAAAGTCGGTTCATGTCGCTCGAGACGCGCCACATCTCTTCGATCGGACCGAGCTCGCTCAGGTTGATGTCCGAGACCGAGAGGCGGTTGACGTCGCCAGGTGGCGGCGGCGCGTCGCTGCCGTTGACAAAGTCGCCGTGGTTGTCGTTCTGACGCATGCGCCGCGCCGCCGATGCCCGCGCCGCGTCCATGCTCAGAGGGAGGCGCGGCCGCTTGTTTTGCGCATCGTCACTGTTGTTGGACATCATTGGCTGCTGCTGCTGCGCAAACGCCGCTGCGAGGTTCGGACGACCGCCGGCCGCCTGCGCAGCGAACGACGCCGCCACGTTGTGGTTGGCGTTGCCGCCGTTGGTCTTGAGGAACGGGTTGCTCGGAATGCCATCGTTGCCCGGGCTCTTGGGCGCGCTGTAGTGCGCCTGCGCAAACGACGCAGCAATGTTGAGTGGCGTCTTGGACTCGGTCTTGCCGCCGCTGCTGAGCGACTGGACGAACGACGAGGCCACTGTGCTGCCCGAGCTTTGACGCATCGGGGCCGGCGGCTTGAACGCATGCTCGTTCGTCGGCGGTGACGACGACCGCATCTGCTGCGCAAAAGACGCTGCCGGGTTGCCCATGGGGAAGCTCATGTTGCTGCCGGCGTGCAGGTCCATCTTGACCGACGACGTCGGTTGCGACACAACAGGTTGATGCGCCTGTGTCGGATGCTGCTGCGGCGGTTGTTGCACGTGGTGGTGGTGCGTCGGGTGGTAATTGCTGCCATCTTGCGTCGGGTACGGCTGCTGGTGCGGCGTGTATTGGCCACGGGGATAGCCCATCGGCGGGTACTGACCGTACGACGACGACGGGTTGTGGTAGTTGGCGTCGTAGCCGCCGCCGTTGCCCGGGTTCATCTTGTGCATAAACTGGTCGGCGGCGTTGAAGCCGCCTTGGTGATAGTGCTGCTGCTGGTGGTGCGGCGACGGGTAGCTCTGGTTGTACATGTCGTGGCCCTGGTACATGCCATGATGGTGGTTGGCCATCGACGGGTGCATGCTGTTGCCGTTGTTGTGGAGCATCGGCGACTGCAGCTCCGACATCATGCTGCGCTGCGGGTAGCCCATGCCACTCGACGGCGCCTTGTGCTCGGACGCGACGGCGGTGACCGTGATGGGTGACACGCTGTTGTCGTTCGGGTCTTTTTCGTTCGTGTTGCGACGGTTGCGTCTAAGGATGCCACGTCAGAATGGCGGACGCCGAGATAAGAAATGGGATACCCCGACTTGGTGCGGCACAGCGACTTCCATCGAATCTTGACGGCGTCCTCCGTGCGGCCCGGTAGCATCGCCGCGATCGCCGACCACCGGTTTCCGATTCGCTGCTGCGCTTCCAAGATGATCTGGTCTTCCTCGGCCGTGTACTCGCTGTTATAACAAGATCGTAAGAGTCTGATGGCGCATCAAGCAAGAGTGGCGACGTACCCACGCACGATGTTTGGGTCCAAGTGGTTGTACCAGCGCTCTCGGCACTGCTTGGACGTGCGGCCGGGAATCCGCGTCGCGACTTGGCCCCAGTTCTTGCGACCTTCGGCGACCAGTTGGCGCAGAATGTCGTCTTCGTCCGGTCGCCAGTGGCCCTTGATGAGGCCCGGCGCGAGCACTTTGGTCCAGCGCTGGAGACACTGCGTGTGGTTGCGGCCGGGCACGACCTCGGCAATGGACTTCCAATTGCGCTCGCCATGGGCCTCGACCGCTTTTCGGAGCGCATCGTCTTCTTCGGGCGTCCAGCGCATCGGCGTCGCCTTGCCTACATGAGGCGTCAGCGCCCATGTTCGCCTGCAAGCAATGTATACCTTGTGTCTGCAACAGCTTGCGGACCGAGCCTTGAGGCAAGGCCACGCGGCCCGACGCGGTGATGCCCGTGACGTCTTGCTGCTTCTGGCGCGGGATGCCCTTGATCTCCTTGGGCATTTGATACGGCTTCTTCCTACGCAAGCCATGCATCAATCGACTCATCCTCGTAGCGCAAGCATGATGGTCCTACGGCGCGTTGGCGTCCGCGGGCTTTTGGCTCTCGGTGAAGAGGACCTTGCCGAGGTCCGAGATTGACTGCCGCGCGTCCACGTCGATCGGGAACGAGTCGACGAACTCGTGCATGATGGACCCGATCGAGTCGCGGCCCGACGGCGCAGCTCCTGCCATCGTCGTGTTTAAACAATGGGCCATGCCAGGCCAAAGTCTCTGGTAGCCCAATACAATACTGAAAATAAAATACAATGTGTCCTCATCACATACAAACAACAAGGTATTGAGGCAACACCGCGTCATGAAATCCGTATTGTATTTCTCCGTCTTGAGATTAAAAATAGATCGAACCGCGCAAGCGCGCTTACCCATTGGTCAAAACAGATGGCTTTTCTAGCAAATCATAAGTAACAGCTTGGCCGTCGCCACGCCTCCCAGACCCCAAAATCTCGGCTCAAATACAAGGTCTTCACGCTCGGTTTGGTCCATCCTGGCCTTGTGCATCAAGTGTTATTGGGGTCTCAAAGGCGACGGCGGTCCCAAGCGTCCCCAGCGCGTCAGCGTGTAACGTGGCGATCACTTTCCAGCTTGTGAGCGCCTTTTCGGTGTTATAACGCGTTATGCAGTGCGTGGTGCACCTTGCAGAAGATAGCATCGCTATCGCCGCACGCAGAGCATTGCAAAGCGAATGAGGGAGGGAGGAGTGTCGTTGTATGTCACGGAAAGCGTGTCCGAAGACGTCCTTGCGGGTGGCTGCGTGGCGACGGCACGCGTCGTGTTAGATGTTATAACAAAACGCGCTGGATCTCTGTTGGCGAAAGAGGGGTATGCGGGCGTGAGAGCCGGCTGCGGGTCGCACTTGCTGCAGTATGATTGGCCAACATATCTGCGACATGCGGTAGAGAGCCGGAGCTGTCGCGCCGCATCTCTGGAGCCAAAGATTTGGCGGGAACGAGGCTGGCATCAACGCCGTCGTGCGCGTTTCGAGCGCTTCGTACCGCAGTGACGCACGGCTTGTCGCGGTTGCTACGCCTTCGAATTGAGCCTATTTGCTCGAAAAGGGGAAAATGGAGAAGGGATATTTGTTTGGCATTGTGAAGATTTGGGTTGTTTGGTCTTTGGACTGGGACCGAGGGTACAAGAATTGGGCACTGGGATTTCTCAGCAAATGGCAGATGGGCGTCAGATGGGGCGAAGTACGAAGTGCTCAAGCACATGGCTCGTGGGGACACTCCCTTTGGGACCGAACGATGTACGTACGCACTGGATCTTGCTTCATCAGATGACACTTTCGAATTGGACGAGGAGCTGCTGACGGCTGTGGTACGCGCAGCGATTCTTGCATTGCGCGCTGCGGCCAGTAAAATGGCAACTCGGCTTGCGATTTCGGGTGGAACAACAAAGCTGGTGGTGGTGGTGGTGACCCCTTCGGGCAACATACCCGGTACCCGTGAGGTAGCGATGAGAGGAGGAATGGACATCGCGTAGTTGATGAAGAACGAAGTTACGTGCAATGCAGCAGCGGTCGGACCAAGTTAAGGCTATCGAACGCCGAACACACAGCCGTTGGTCTGGATGGTTGCCGATTTCTTTTTTGCCGCAGCGAGCGTCGACAGACTTGCAATCTTATGAGCGACGAAAGATGCCTTGGACAGCACGATAGCAGATCCCATGAGCTAACCCTGCAGCGAACGCAGAGCCTCGGAAGATGTGACACAAGGGCTACATGCATGGGCTACATGTTACTATGCCGAATATGGCCAATATCCGTTTGATCACAGTTGTCTAAAGGTGTGGTCTAGGAATACATGTAGGACCTGTGCGTCCGTTGTCGCAGGCAGCCGAAAAGACTACTCGCCGCTTCGAATTGTCGATGCTTATTGTTGACCCTGATTTGATCTGACGATTGAGCGTCCTGATGATACCGTGCATTATCGCAAGTGCACACGCTATTACAATGCCACATGCACTCGCTACGCTCGCGCATGGCATATGGCCCTACCGCGCTAGCGCGCGGATCTGCTTCATGTATGGCTGTGCTAATGACCGCGAGGGAGGCACTAGGGGGCGCAACTATTCTCTTGAGTGGATCAATAGCAAGCGCGGGCTGGATGCCCGTTTCGTACGAGTCGCACGATTCGATGACGAGCGTCGGGTTGATGAGCATGGTTTTGCGGGCCAAAGTAAAAAGGGAAATGCAAGTTTACCACTAAACGGAGTGCGTACGACGACTGCAACTTGATAGTATTGATCACGTTGCCAGTTCGTTCATGGCACCCTAAAATGGCTTCTTTAATCCACTGCGTAAAATTCTGGAAGAGAAAGAATCAACATTATGGTCGGGAACGGGTCAGCCACACAAAAAATCTATCAAGTCGATCAACTTGAAACAAACCAAGTGTCAACTGCACCAACGCAAAAAGGTGTGTTCGACGTAACGTTTTGGCCCGTGCCTTTGACCTCAGCAAGGTAATACAGTATATATATATTGTACGAGGCCTTGTTGGAGAGAAGAGCAAGGCAGGGTTGCTCGTCCAGAACACCAAAAATCATAGCTAAAAAAGTGCTACGCGAGCAATCAGAGTTACATTGCAACTTAAACGGACTGCATCGCTGATGGCTGCTGTTTCGTCCATTGGTGTCCGATATGCGCTTGGTTTGCCTCGAGCATATCTTGGAGTTCCTTGAGGAGACGTGGTAGGCGCTCGTTCGCTTCCGCCGAGTTGGGCAAATCGGACATGACGCCGTGCACTTTCGTCTTGACGTCCTTCATTCCTTGGACGGCTGCGTAGTTGACCTTAGCGAGCGCAACCCACTCGTGCCATTCGTTTGTCAGCGAGTCGCAACACATGTCGGCGCCCCACAGCTTGGAAGCGAGCGTGGACCAGAAATCGCGCACATTTTCAAACGTGGCCTTGATGCCACCAAGCGCTGTGACGATCAACTTGAGTGCGGCAATCGCTTGGTCACACGTTTTGCCTTTGCCATGATAGCTCGCAAGCTGACACGCAATGGTGGTAATGGCCTGGTTGACCTTGTACTGCTCCTCGAGCGCTTTGATGCAGTCGTCGCGCTCGCCCTGGCGCGAGACCTCGCTGGCGTGCGAGCGCGAGGACGACGAAGATGTCGTGTCCGTGGTTTCGACGTGTCCTTGCTTACGGCGGTCCTCTGCGGCATTTTCCACTGCGAGCTCCGTGGCCGCGATATCGGTATCGCAGCACTTGACATGAGCTTCGGGGTTTTTCTCCAGTACATTCGCCTTGGCTTGTGTACACGCCTTCATTTTGCTGTTCAAGGCGACAGTCTCATTCAGACTTGCCTGGGCGCCCTTCATAGCCTTCTCGGCCTTTTCCGCGAGCTTGCCCGCGATGGCCTCCATGCGGCCTGCGACCTCGCACGTCGAGAGAAGCATCTTCTTGGTCTTAACTAGATTTCCCTTGAGAAGGAAGACAAATGCAAGCTTGTACGACTTGAGCACTTGCATACACCCGCAAAGAAACGCGTCGGCGGCAATGTCCGTGTCGACGACAAGCGTTTGGTAGTCACCGAGAGTGCGGACGATGTCGGTGTTGCAAGCAAAGCCGTGCGACGCCGCGACTGCAATCTCGAGCATCTTGACGACGTCTTGAAGTGTCTCCATGCACTGATAAGCACTGATGACGGTAAAGAATTGTTCCTTTGTCGCCACCTTCTTCATGAGCTCGGTGTTCTTGAGAAGCACGACCTG